ACTTCCGGAATGGAAACAACGAAAATCTGGTCAAATCTCTGTCCACTCAACGAAAGTGGGATTATATGAAAGGATATCCCAAAAGAGTAGAGAATTATTTAGTTGGAAGTGAAGGCGATATCTATGCCATGAAAGTGTTGTAAACCCATTAAACATACACTTTTTGAATCTGTTGAATAAACTTAAAATAAAATTTTAAAATTGTAATATGTATAATGGTTTTTGAAGTTTTACAAACAGTTATTAAACATTTAACTTAATTGTCGTTATTATAAATACTCTGTTATAACGTCTAAAATTAATTTACATTAATTAAAATGTTGAGTAAATGTCGAGTAGCAGAAAAATTATATATTTTTATTAATTTTGAAAAGAGAATTTTCGTAAATTTAATTTGTTTTCATTCAATTCATTTGAACACTATTTTAAAAATATATTCAACAAATATTTATTTAATTGCTTATTTATATTATAAGAAAAACTCCATTACTTTTACTTCTCTAAAACCAAATGGAGGAATAAATATCTTATGTGAACTTAAGGGTCAACCAATCAATTGAATCATAAGTTATACCAACTTATTGTCCGTACGGGTCGTCACTGACGCTGAAAAACAAGAAATGTCTCAATTTATTACTTGCAATAATAAATATGTTACTTACTGTATTTTATTAATCATTTTAAGTTTTTACAATAATAATTATTATTAATTTGGAGATAATACAGTACTCAATGTAACCTTAATGTAAACAAATGTAATTGATTAGCTTATCATTTGGTACCCTATTACACAATTTTATTATTCAAATGTTTAAAATCAATGATATTCACATTATGGTAAGTGTATATAAATAATGTGAAGATTTGCTAACATCTCAATCATAAGTTTGCCTCAAAGTTGCAAAAATGTCTGAAAAAGAGGAGAGAATTAAATTAATTCAAGAAGTACTCTCAACGGCAGATCTAAATGTAACCAAGAAGTGGTACTCCAAGTGGGCTTCAAACTATGAACAGGTAGAGTACAATTTACAGACTAATTACAGTAATAAGTTCCCAATAATTATGACATATATGAGCTAGATGATTTATTATTGTCTGTCATTTCGAAATGTTGTTATTTTTAATATGATAATAATTGGTAAAAAAAATTTCGATTCAAAATATAAAGTTTAAAACAGCAAATGATAAAAACTTTAAATATTTTAATATCTATTAATATTAAATAAGATTTATTAATAACTTAATTTTTTATTAATTAACTTATAGGATATAGCGTTTATGGAATATAATGGCCCAGAAGTAACGGTCAATGAATTCTTATCTCTTAATATACCAAAAGATGCCCGCATTCTGGATATCGGGATGGGAACGGGAAATGTGGTATTAACTTATAGGATATAGCGTTTATGGAATATAATGGCCCAGAAGTAACGGTCAATGAATTCTTATCTCTTAATATACCAAAAGATGCCCGCATTCTGGATATCGGGATGGGAACGGGAAATGTGGGAATACATCTCAAACAAAACGGTTACACAAACATCGATGGACTCGACGCCTCACCAGAGATGGTGGAAATCGCAAAACAAAGGAATTGCTATAAAAATCTTATCTGTTCTTCGGTTGAGAAAGAAACAAGACTTCCGATTGAAGACAAGACATACGATGTGGTAATAATGGCCGGTTGTCTCTGTCCCGGACATATCAGATGGAATTCATTCCCACAAATCATACGAATTGTTAAATCAGGTATACATTAGTTATATTTTACTCCTTATTTAAAAACATGACAAAAACTTGAAATATAAATAACTAAATATTGTAAATACGATATGATAGGAGGAGTGGTGTTTTGGTTGGTCGCCGTCTCCAAGACCTTTGAGGAGAAGGACGAAGACTTCCGGAACGGAAACAACGAAAATCTGGTCAAATCTCTAACAACTGAAGGAAAATGGGATTACATTAACGGATACCCAAAAAGGGTAGAGAATTATATGATAGGAACTGAAGGCGATATATACGCTATGAAAGTGCAATAAATACTATAAATCTGATTTACCATAATTAACTAATATTTACGTTATTAACTTACTTGATAACTAATGTTTTATTATAATAAACTATTGTAATTCCTTAAGTGAATTCTTTATTAAGTCAAATATATGTAACAATTAAATTATAATTTGCTTAAACAGTGATACTTAATAAATAGACAATTGTTTTGAGGTAAACATAAATATAATTAAGTTGTATATAAAATATAATCATTTATATTAAAAAGATATATAAATATTTATACAAATGAAACTTATTCGTTGAAATTTTAAATAAAATTGCATTTAAATGCATATAAATCAATAACAATTAACTTCTATACCAATTAAGATAACAATTTCACAATTTGGTGTCACAATAGCTATTATTTGCGGAACTAATAAATTGAAAACAATCCAAATGTTTATTAAATGTTTGCCAATCGGTTCCGACTCTGAGTTCATCGGAAACACCCATTCTTTTGGCCACTTTATAGACAATCGAGTCGTTGTGTTGAGTGCCGACAATAGCCCACAAATCGTTATAATTATTAACACATATCTTAAGGACACAGTCGTCCACTTTCTTCCAATGAGTCCCCTCTGGAAATGTTGCGACGATTTCTTCCCTAAACCATAGCCTGTGCTTCTCGTCGACGGCCCAAACACTGGTCTTTCCGACGCAAACCTGTTTGAGCGGACACTTAGGTCGCGGCGATTCGATGTGAAACCAAACCGTTCCCGCAGGAGATGTACGACTGATGCCGTGTCTTAAGAAAGCGGATCCATCTCTCGCTGTCGCCCAAACTTGTATAAAATTATCGTTTCCGCCGACACTTATGTAAACGAATGGTTGTTCGCACGACACGTGTTCCCAAGAGAGACCCCGAGGACACTGCGGAGTGACTCCCAATCGACACAACGAGTGGCCATCGCCTGAAATGGCCCAACAATTGAGTATCACTTCTTCGTTGTTATTTGCTCAAAGGTTTGATTGAGGCATTCCTAAGATTTTTCGGGCCTGTCTTCTAAGACTGATTTTTACCGAGAGTTTTAAACTCGTCAGCCTTTTATTCGGCCAACGGTTTCTGTACGGAGTTAATGTTAGTCGTTATGTAAACTAATTGATTAATTTATCAATTATTGATAACTAGATTGAAAGGCGCCTAAAATATTTTAAAATAATTGATATCATTCTCGTTCTTATGTTATATTAATAATGCGATTATTCGCTTAGAATTCAGTCACAAAAGTTATTTCAGGCAAAACTTGTCCGAAAAAATGGGCGAAAAGGCGGAGAAATTGAAATATTTGGATGAATTGGTTCAACCAAGAGATCCAAACGAGACTAAAGTCTGGTACTCAACGTGGGCTCCAAACTATGAAAAAGTATATTAATTATTAAATTCTATGTAAATTATATTAATATAATAGTTAGGATAAGTTAGTGTTACAAAAATATATTTAATTGAAATATTTGAACTATAATTAGATTAATAAAAATAATTCATTTAAATGAAAGGATGTGGTGTTCATGGAATATAATGGTCCGGAAATAGCAGTCAATGAATTCCTGGCTTTAAATATACCGAAAAATGCCCGCATTCTAGACATCGGGACGGGAACGGGAAATGTGGGACTACTTCTCAAACAAAACGGTTACACAAACATCGATGGACTCGACGCCACACCAGAGATGCTGGAAATCGCGAAACAAAAGAATTGTTATACAAATCTCATTAACTCTTTGGTCACTAAAGATATAAGACTTCCGATTGAAGACAAGACATACGATGTGGTAATAATGGCCGGTTGTCTCTGTCCCGGACATATCAGATGGAATTCATTCCCACAAATCATACGAGTCGTGAAAACAGGTATATATTTGCGAATAAATGTGAAAATGTGATTAACTAATGGACTAATTGTTGTGAATGTGGTCTAATAGGAGGAGTGGTGTTTTGGGCGGTCGCCGTCTCGAAGGCTTTTGAAGAACGGGACGAAGACTTCCGGAATGGAAACAACGAAAATCTGGTCAAATCTCTGTCCACTCAACGAAAGTGGGATTATATGAAAGGATATCCCAAAAGAGTAGAGAATTATTTAGTTGGAAGTGAAGGCGATATCTATGCAATGAAAGTGTTGTAAACCCATTAAACATACACTTTTTGAATCTGTTGAATAAACTTAAAATAAAATTTTAAAATATTGACTAAAATATGTATAATGGTTTTTAAACTTTTAAACTTATTAAACATTTAACTTGATTGTCTTTATTATAAACACTCTGTTATAACGTTTAAAATTAATTTACATTAATTAAAATGTCGAGTAACAGAAAAATTATATATTTTTATTAATTTTGAAAACGGAATTTTAGTAAACTTAACTAGTTTCCATTCAATTCATTTGAACATTGTCTGCACTATTTTAAAAATATATTCAACAAATATTTATTAAGTTGCTTATTTATATTATAAGCAAATCTCCAATTCTGTTTCTAAAACTAAATAAGTCAATCTTATGTGTACTTAAGGGTCAACCAATCAATTGAATCATATACTAAATTATTGTCCGTACGGGCCGTCACTGACGTTGAAAAACAAGAAATCTCACAATTTATTCCTTGCAATAAAAAAAATATGTTACTTATTTTATTAATAATTTTAAGTTTTTTTAAACAATAATAGTTATTATTAATTTGGAGATAATAAAGTACTCAATGTAACCTTAATGTAAACTAATGTAATTGATTAGCTTATCTTTGATACCCAATTATCTAATTTTTTAATTCAAATGTTTAAAATAAATTATATTTACATTATAGTAAGTGTATATAAATAATGCGAGGATTTGCTAACATTTCAATCATAAGTTTGCCTCAAAGTTGCAAAAATGTCTGAAAAAGAGGAGAGAATTAAATTAATTCAAGAAATACTTTCAACGGGGGATCTAAATGTAACCAAGAAGTGGTACTCCAAGTGGGCTTCAAACTATGAACAGGTAGAGTACAATTTAATTATTATTTTAATAACTTTACAGGCTAATTACAGTAATAAGTTCCCAATAATTATGACATATATGAGCTAGATGATTTATTAATAATAAATTATTATTGTCTGTCATTTCGAAATGTTGTTATTAAAATTTAATATGATAATAATTGGTAAAAAAAATTTCGATCCAAAATATAAAGTTTAAAACAGCAAATGATAAAAACTTTAAATATTTTAATATCTATTAATATTAAATAAGATTTATTATAACTTAATTTTTTATTGATTAACTTATAGGATATAGCGTTTATGGAATATAATGGCCCAGAAGTAACGGTCAATGAATTCTTATCTCTTAATATACCAAAAGATGCCCGCATTCTGGATATCGGGATGGGAACGGGAAATGTGGGAATACATCTCAAACAAAACGGTTACACAAACATCGATGGACTCGACGCCTCACCAGAGATGGTGGAAATCGCGAAACAAAGAAATTGCTATAAAAATCTTATCTGTTCTTCGGTTGAGAAAGAAACAAGACTTCCGATTGAAGACAAGACATACGACGTGGTAATAATGGCCGGTTGTCTCTGTCCCGGACATATCAGATGGAATTCATTCCCACAAATCATACGAATTGTTAAAACAGGTATACATTAGTTATATTTGACTCTTTATTTAAAAATATGGTAAAAACTTGAAATATAAATAATTAAATGTTGTGAATACGATATGATAGGAGGAGTGGTGTTTTGGTTCGTCGCCGTCTCCAAGACTTTTGAGGAGAAGGACGAAGACTTCCGGAACGGAAACAACGAAAATCTGGTCAAATCTCTAACAACTGAAGGAAAATGGGATTACATTAACGGATACCCAAAAAGAGTAGAGAATTATATGATAGGAACTGAAGGCGATATATACGCTATGAAAGTGCAATAAATACTATAAATCTGATTTGACACCATTTAATATTGACCATAATTAGCTAATATTTACGTTATTAACTTACTCGATAACTAATGTTTTATTATAATAAACTACTGCAATTCCTTAAGTGAATTCTTTATTAAGTCAAATATATGTAACAATTAAATTATAATTTGCTTAAACAGTGATACTTAATAAATAGACAATTGTTTTGAGGTAAACATAAAAATAATTAAGTTGTATATAAAATATAATCATTTATATTAAAAAAGATATATAAATATTGATACAAATGAAACTTATTCATTGAAATGTGAAATAAAATTGCATTTAAATGCATATAAATCAATAACAATTAATTTCTATACCAATTAAGATAACAATTTCACAATTTGGTGTCACAATAGCTATTATTTGCGGAACTAATAAATTGAAAACAATCCAAATGTTTATTAAACGTTTGCCAATCGGTTCCGACTCTGAGTTCATCGGAAACACCCATTCTTTTGGCCACTTTATAGGCAATCGAGTCGTTGTGTTGAGTGCCGACAATAGCCCACAAATCGTTATAATTATTAACACATATTTTGAGGACACAGTCGTCCACTTTCTTCCAGTGAGTCCCCTCTGGAAATGTTGCGACGATTTCTTCCCTAAACCATAGCCTGTGCTTCTCATCGACGGCCCAAACACTGGTCTTTCCGACGCAAACCTGTTTGAGCGGACACTTAGGTCGCGGCGATTCGATGTGAAACCAAACGGTTCCCGCAGGACATGTACGACTGATACCGTGTCTTAAGAAAGCGGACCCATCTCTCGCTGTCGCCCAAACTTGTATAAAATTATCGTTTCCGCCGACACTTATGTAAATGAATGGTTGTTCGCACGACACGTGTTCCCAAGAGAGACCCCGAGGACACTGCGGAGTGACTCCCAATCGACACAACGAGTGGCCATCGCCTGAAATGGCCCAACAATTGAGTATCACTTCTTCGTTGGATTGTGTATTAAGTTTGGAACAATAAATGGATGAACTGATTATAGAGGTGCTGGTGATGGCACTCCACGGACCGGTTGTCGTTAGTCTGCATTTTCTAAACCATCGTCTTCTGCGGACATAGTCTGTAAACTTTCGGTCGGAATGATAATCAAAAGGGAAATCTATGGAGTATTGCCAGCCATCGGAGTCCACGCCGTCAGGTGTTGAGTAATCAATACTCCAATCGTTAAGCCATTGCCATTGTTTGGACGGGAGTTTAATATTATCCTTAATGAGTTCGTGTTTACCCGTCTCATCGCTCCACATATACCGATCGGTTGGCAATCCTTTTCATTCAATACATAACAGCATTAATAGTGAATATAATAAATGTTTAAAAATGAATACCTTTTGGCGCAAAACCACTCAATGGATTCCATCGTTGGTTTTCGTAACAACAGAAAGACATGGTATCAGACATTGGGTTGCAATTACTGGTAACGCCAGTCAAGTCATTATAAACGCCACCTCCGGTCCCGTTATTATAAACCCAAAGCACACTGTCGTAAGAGATGGCCCACGAAATAGCTAAACAAGTGGTCACCGATTTAAAGTGACCGCCACTGAAGAGGTAGTAGAAAACGTTGTCCGAACTCAACTGATGGCCAACATATAGATCGCCTAAATAATTAATATTACAATTAATTAATTATAAGTTATAACATATGGTAATAATATTGAAACCTTTTTGCGTTAAACAGTAGAGAAGGGCTCCAGACATAGCAGTGGTACCGTTGATACCATGAAGATCACCGCAAACCAGATTAATGGTTGCCAACCAATCATTTAATTCTGTGTCCGTTTGAAATTTTAGTTTCGTTACAAAACTATTGCCACAAATCACTAAACAATTGCTTATTGAATACATTGAGTGCTCCGACGAATCAATGAAAGCACAACTAATTTCGGCCAAATTTAACATTTTTCGATTCACTTTTGTCTTTTGAGATGAATTAGAGTACGTTATGGTTAGAGTTCCGCTTTCGGTGGTCTTCTCGACGCCATGTCTTTGGAGTTCGAGTAAACCCGGAGACCAAACGGTACTCGTCTTGTCTATATTGCCGACAATACATGTGCCGGTCTTTACCCAAACACCCGATTCAATCGCTTTCTGATATAACGGCATAAAATCCTTCATTTCTATTTCGTATCTGACGTTCAAATGAAACTTATGTTCAAATAAAAGGTAACTTAAAATATTATCATTTATATCAATCAGACCTTCTGTTGAGTTGCGTTATAATCGTTGACTTCCAGTCGCACTCGTCTGAAGAAATACTTTGTTCCCTAAGAGTTAAGACATCGAGTGATGTTTGCGACTCTTGCGATGGGCAAGAGATCTGAAGATATGCGTCGGTATTGAGAGCACAACTCGCGGCTGAGATCCAAATCCAGGCCTGAGTTTCGGAATCTGCGATATTTGATGAAAATAGCGAGTCTTGCGATGATATGCTAATTGAGTCCAATTGTTGTTCAATGGCTTTAATGGCATTTCTTTGATTGCAAACATTGATCGGTTGTCGAGCCATCAGTTTCCACGCCTTTCCCGTCAATTCTCCGAATGAAATACCGGTTCGGAAATAAAGACTCTTCTTATCGGGACTTAAGGCCCAAACCTTCAAATTCATGAAATGAGTTAAATATAAAGTTTAAATTTAATCACACAATACCTGATCATTAGAGGTGACCGACAATAGAGACATTTCTTGCATCATTTCAACCCAACCCGAACCGATCGCACAATTATCGTTATGACCCGAATTGAGTCCACGAATGCCTTTACGAAACCATACCTTTCCATCTCTAGTTAGGGCCCAAACACTGTCGACACCGACCGACACTTGCATTAGTTTGGACTCATTGGGCGCCTCCACTCGAATCCATTCATTCCCATAAATAGTATCCCTATTGACTCCCGAGCGGACTAATGCCGATCCGTCCCACGCGACCGCCCAAACCAGTCCCGTCGGTCCGCACGATATTTGGTTCACTTCCCAACCGACGGGCACTT